GCCCACGTGCCGCAACTACTGAAGCCTGTACTTCTAGAGCCCGTGCTCCACAGCAAGAGAAGCCACCGCAATGAGAAGCCCACGCACCGCAACAAAGACCCAACGCAGCCAAAAATCAATCAATCAATAAACGAAAAAGACTGATTTGTAGCTTACGGTAAATGGTACGAAATTTTAGAATGAATAAGTTCCATCATTCTCGAAGCCCCTCAATCACTCTGAGAATATAAAATAGTAAGAAATGGAGGGGAAGTGAGGTTCTTTGGAGAAGAATGGGAAGAGGTACTAGAGCTTCCATCACAAGCTCAAAAGAGAGGGACTGCCCGGCATGAAGGTCACCAGTGTCGGTTGATACTTTCATTCAAGTTAAGATGTGAGTGAAACAACACAATATACATAGTAACTCAGTGACGTGATACGAGGGGCTACTTCCTGTGTCAGTCAGTCATTGTCAAATACTGAACGAATGCCCCCTTTTAACCCCTTTTGCTATTCCCACTATAGCAGCTACAGACACAGAACACTTTTAAGTCTTAACTGCCTTGTAAACATTTTCTCCACCACATTCTTAACTTCAGAGTGGACAATGGACAAAATAATAAATCAAGGTCTTAAGTGTGGCATTTGCCAATTTCTGAGTTGTGAATACTCCCACCGTGGTGAATTTCAATCTAACAGCATGTTGTCACTGAATGTGGAGCTGGGAAGAGGTGTACCATAGCATATGGCATTACATGGTATTTCCACCATGTAGATACAATAGCTGTACAGATAATAATAAAATATATTTAGAATAGGTAATAGAAAATAAAATGTACAGCATAGATAATTATAAAATGTAGTTAAGTAATTTGGAAATGAATTTTAGTATTTATTACATTGGTTTTTAATATGATTTCATTGCAAGTTTATGTAACTTAATTTTTTTCTTTTTTTTTACTTTTTTATTGAAGTATACTGGATTTACAATATTGTGTTAGTTTCAGGTGTACAGCAAAGTGATTCAGTATACATATACATATGTATATAGCTATATCCTTTTTTTTAAATTCTTTTCCATTGTAGATTATTACAAGATAGTGAATATAGTTCCCTATGCTATACAGTAAATTCCTGTTGTTTATCTATGTATATGGTAGTGTGTATCTGTTAATCCCATACTCCTAATTTATCCTTCCCCCCTTCCCCTCCATTTTTAATAATGGCTGTGTTTAACATCTACCTGTAAAATTCCTGAAAATTTAACCACAGGCTCTCCCGAGCCAGGATAAGCCACGTCCTGCACACCTCTGACTTTAAGTACATTGAAAACACAGCTTTACTGTCCTAGCTGTCATTCTCAAACTGCTAAAATGTGGATTTTCCTCTCTATGAAATTCTTAGTAAACTTGGTACAGCAATCTCTTCTCTTAATCCAGTGGACACATTCCAGTCCTAATTTTTTTTTTTTTTTGCCATACGCGAGGCTTGTGGGATCTTAGTTCCCCGACCAGGGACTGAACCCAGGCCCACAGCAGTGAAAACGCTGAGTCCTAACCACTAGCCCACCACGGAATCCTAATCTTGATCATCCATAGGAAATGACACCGTTGGTCTCCTGCTAGAAACCGCCATGTCGCTGGTTTGTCCAGTCTCTTGCCTTCACCCTCCCTCTCTGACCATTCCCTAGGTCTAGTCTGAATGTTCTCCTTTCCCCACTGAGCCCTTCAGTGCTGGTTTTTCTGAGTATTCTAGGTCCTCACATCTTATCACATCTCACACTGCCCCAGGAAGCCTCATCTACCCTGCTATCGCTCATGGGCAGTCATCACCAAACCTATATCTCCAAACCAAGATTCTCTTACTTCCTAAATATCTAGACCCACATTTGCAATTGCTCTGTGATGTATTTTCCCTCTAGTGTCCCACATAAATTTTGAATTCAAAATGTCATAACACTCTCTTCCCTTGTGATTTGATGACTATGTTTAGTGTTATGTTTGGAGTCCTTTCTCTTTGTGTGTGTGTGTGTGTGTGTGTGTGTGTGTGTGTGTGTGTGTTTATCTATTGCAGAGTGTTGGTTCCCATGAGGTTTATATACAGCAACCTATAAATATACAGGATTATTTTAAGCTGATGATCTCCTAAATGATCTCTTTTATTATATTTTGTATCTATACCATTTGATGGATGTTCACTAAACCTACTGGGGTAATCATTTCATGATGTATGTAAGTCAAATCATTATGCTGTACCCCTTAAACTTATATAGTGCTGTATGTCAGTTATAGCTCAATAAAACTGGAAGGAAATAAAGCAAAACAAAACCACAAAATGTCCACAACAAACTCGTTTCTGTCTTTTCAAGTCTGCTTCTCCCTTTCAACTCAATAATTTATAGGAGGCACCATTTGCCAAATCACCTAACCAAAACCCTGAATGTCATTCTGTATTCCTCCTTCTTTCATATAGTCCCCATGTAAGACTTCAGCACCAGTTGGCTCTGGTCCTAATATCTCTACCAATTATTGCTTCTCTCTTTACCCACTGTCACTGATAAAACTTAATTCCTGGGAATTCCCTGGCAGTCCACTGGTTAGGACCTGGTGCTTTCACTGCCATGGGCCTAGGTTCAATCCCTGGGTGGGGAACTAAGATTCCACAAGCTGCACAGCAAAGGTGAAAAAAAACAAACAAACCTTAATCCTAATCACCCCACATTGTTGTAATAACCTTCTAATTTTGTAACTCTGATTCATCTTACACACTGATGCCTCTGTTATCTTTCTAAATCACAAATCACTTAATGGCTCCCAATTGCCTTAGACCAGTGGTTCTCAACCTTGGCTGCACAACAGAATTATCTGGGGAGGTTTTTTTCAACTAATTTTATAAATGTATGATTTACATATAATAAAGTACACCCATTTTAAGTATATAGCTCAATGTGTTTTTAACACATACATACACACACACAAGTGTGCAATTATCACCATCAATAACAATATAAATCATTTTCATCACTTCAAAAAGTTCCCACATATCCTTTTTCAAATTCCCCAAGCTTATCCTTCCCCCAAAGAGTTGACCCTAAGCAACCCCTGTCAGTAAAGATAAGTTTTGCCTGCTCTAGAATCTCGTATAAATTGAATCGGACAATATTTACTCTTTGACATCTGGCTTCTTTTACCCAAGATAATGTCTTTGAGATTCAGCCATGGTGTGTGAATCAGTAATTTCTTCCTTTTTACTGTTGAGTAGTATTCTGTGGTATGAATTTCTCGAAATGTTCATTCATTTGTTGATGGACATTTGGATTGTTTCCAGTTTGGGGCTATTATGAATAAAGCTTCTATGAACATTGGGGTACAAATATTTTTGTAAACATATGTTTTCATTCCTCTTGGGTCAGTATTTAGGAGTGTTATTGCTGGATCTTATGATAACTGAATATTTAACTTTAGAAGAAACTGTCTATTTTTCAAAGTAGCTGTACCATTCTCCATTCCCACCAGCATTGTAGGAGAGTTCCAGGCAGAAAGCCAGGACACACATAGCTCATTTTGCTTGTTTCCCTTCTCTGGCATAGCACAGATCTATACTGCCTGTAGTTCAATGTCTGAAAATAATCGTTTCATATATTTTGTCTAGTTTTTTCATTGTTGGGAGTGGAAGGGCAAATCCAGTACCAGGTACACTGTCATGGCCAGAAGCAAAGTCCACTTGGCGAGCGGCTTATAAAAACATGATGCTTGAGTGCAACCCCATACTAATTAAATCTGAGTTCCTGCAGTGAGAGGATGGCAGGGGAGTTCTAATGTGCATCAGCCTTGAGAATCACTGGCCCGGAGCGTAATATTCAATCTCTTCACTAAGGCAAGACCGTTCAGCATCTGCCCTAAGCCTACATCTCCAGTCTAGACCCAAACCCACACTCTCCAACCCCCAACCATCTTTTGTCATTTCTCCTAAGGTTCAGCCATGCAGTACTTTATCAGGATAAACATGGTATTTCAAACCCTTGCCTCTCCCGGTGGTCCCTTTTGGTCCAAAGTTTACCAGGGGTACTTATCCTTCAAGATTCGGCCAAAATGCCTTTGGCTTTATGGGTTATAAAGAAAAGCCCGGGATTTCTAGGGCAGAACGTTGTACTCAAAAGAATATCTGGACAACCAACAAATGCGAGGCTTAGGATCTGGTACCGCCATTTACAACTGGGTGAGTTTAGTCGTTATTTGTCATCTGCTTTCCTCAGGTATAACACAGTAATAACAATACTTACCTGGCAGAGGAACAGACGAGATTACACATACAATCGAACGCACCTAGCATGGTGCACATAGCAGGTGCCAACAGAATACTCCCCTTCACACCCCACATCCCACTCATAACGTTTCCTGCAAAGCTCTACTGCAAATGGCACTTTATTATCTGTTTATACCTCTCCCTCTCCCAATAGATTGTGAGTTTTATAATGACCAGGACTATTTCTTTTTACCTTTGCATCCGGGCGCATAAAAGTGCTTGGGATAAGACAGGAGTTTGAATAAATCTCAGATGAATTTAGAAGTCTCTAGCTCTGATCGCAAAGAAAGTTTACAGGGTTCTTCCTCCTCAACATCAATTCACGCTTTGGGGGCGACGTACCACCCAGTCCTTGGCAAGGAAATGAGAGAATGTGACCGAGACTGGAAAAGGACAGTGGCACTTTTCATCAGATGAAACATCCAGAGGACGTTTTCACTGTGGGGTTAAAAGAACACGTAAGTCCGTGCTGCCCTCGGCGGCGCCCAGCAGCCTCCGGGTTTACGCAGAGGTTTCTTGGCGGCGAAATTCTGAGCCAACTTCCTCCAAGGAAAGAAGCGAGACTGCACAGGTGGGCGGGCGCCGGAAGAAGCGCGCACTGGGGCCGGGGTAGGCGGGGACGCGCAGGGGCCGCCCCGCCCCGCGGTTGCCAGGCAACCGGCCCCGGAAGTCGCGGGAGACGCTTCGGCGGCGGCGGTGCCGGGAGTGGTTGAAAGATGGCGGACGGCGGCGGCGGAAGCGAGGCGGGCGAGGAGGGGCCGAGGGCGGTGGGGCCGCGGCCCCCGAGCGCTCGGGACTTGCAGGTGCGGCGAACGGCGGGGCGGGGGCGCGGCGTCGGGGACGACGCGGCCCGGGGCGTGTGGAACCGCCCTGGCCGCGGCCGAGCTTCCCCACACCGGCTCGGGGACCAAACTGTGATTCCGGCTCCGCGGGTCCGCCCCAGGCGGCGCGCCGGGCAGCGGCGTCGGTGGAAACAAGTGTCCGAGCCCGGCTGTCATTGGTGCCCCTGCCGCGTTTCCCCTCCACCCCACTTGCAGTTTAAGAAGCAGCTGCTTAAAAAAAAAAAAAGAAGCAGCTGCTGATGTCGAATGGCATTTGGGGGGTTAGGGGTCAGTTGAGTGCTTCACCGGTTGATGCTCCGGTCAGACTCACTGCAGAAGAAAGCTCTGCGGTGGCCGTGGGGAAATCGAGTCACAGCGTGGGCTGGTTTGATCTTGTTTGTCTTGGATGCTGTTTGTGGCTCGATTACTTACGTGTAAAAAGGGTTCCTTTTTATCAGATAGCTTTTCCTTTTAAAGGGGTGAACTAAAAAGTATTTCATCCTCCGGCTGCTCAGCCTAGTTGTAACAGCTTACAGTCTAGAAAACATTGCGCATAAGAAACAGAGAAATAAAACTTTGTAATGTTACAGGACATTGACATTAGTTAGCTAAATACCAGCGCACCAAATCTTGCTCCGCCAGATGCATCACACTACTCATTTTAGAGGTTTTTTTTTTAAAACTGTCTCTTTGTAAGATCATTGATAAAATTCAAAAAGTAAACATCTGTAGGGAGCTATAATTAAAAATAAATGACATTCAATCCACAAGCCTTGGTAGAAAAGTTCTATTACTTTATTGTTACACCTTCATTCTATTTCTTTAAACAAACACATATTGACCACCTGCCATGTAACATATTGCTAAGCTCAGGAATGCAGAAATAAATAGGACCTCACGTCCACAGTTGGTGCTGGGACACTGATGAAGGGCATAGAAGTATAAAAGACATTTCTACCTATTTTTTGCAGAAATAAAATACGCATATATTTCACAGAACATTTTGAGATGGAGTATGAATTAGTGCCAAAATAAGCAGTGCATAAAATGACAAATTTGGAGAATGGAGAGATTGGTGTCAGGTTAGGAGATGAACTCAATGTAGAATAGTTCCAGTGTTCATAAGTCAGTTCAGTAGCAGTAAACAGAATCAAGGGGCAGGAAGGTCTCATCCACCTCGTATTTTCTGTTGAAGACCAGTATCACTAAGAGGCAGCATGGACTGGCAGGGAAAAAATGGAGTTTCTGGTCAGAACAACTTCGGTTTGCATCTTGATCGTGACACTTAGTGGTTGTGTGAATATCGGAAAAATGTCTTAACCTCTCTGATCCTCAGTGTCTTTATCTGTAGACTAGAGGTGATGGTGGTGTCAAGGATGAAATAAAGAAATGTCTATAAAGTGTCTGTTCAATCCCATATTATCCTGGATCAGACTTGCTTAGTAAATATTTGGTTCTTTTTCCCTTAAAGGAGAAAAATACTATAACTTTCACTGGTTAGTCCATGCTAATGCTATTAAACTTAAAACTATGTGACCTAATATCCTTTCTCTAATTTAAATCTATTTTGTCTTTTTATGTGAAAAATGAGAACAGCTTGGTTAATGATCACCTAATACTTGAAAAATTTATACTTCATCCACTGGATTAAGATATGATAAATTGTTGGAGATATTGTCATAGATGTCGCCAATTGTGAGAATTCCTTCCTTTCCACCATCAATTAGAAAATAGGGTTTTGGGTTTTTTTTTTTTTTCCATCCCCTGTCTGCTTCCTAGTAGGTAGTTTCAAGTAGATAACTGATTTTTTATGAATGTGATTTGGAATATCAAATACACTAAGTATTCATAGTGTTTCCCTTAGAATTTAATAAAAATGAGAAGAATTTGCAAAGAAACCTGAAAACAACCAAGTTTGTTGTTTCATATGTTCATAGCATATGAAGAAATAGAGTATGTATCAAAGATTTAAAAGAATTGGATAATGTTGTCTCCCCAGCTGGTTTCTTGGATATTGATTATTTGGGTATTATTGTTTAGTCTAGCCATGTTTATTTTAAGAGTTACCCATTTGGTTCAATTTTCAGTAGATACTCCTTAACTTTCCTGACAACTGCTCTAAGAGTCTTTCACAATATAATTAGAAATAGCAAAAGTATCATTAAGTACCTATTTCTTAGCTGCCATGCGGTGTAGGGTTTGTCGGCAGCTACATTAGGAGAGATTTCCTCATTCACCACAAGAGGAAAGATAGATCGTCGTCTCCCAAAAAGCCTCCCGGCACCGTGAGCCTCTGACTCACAAATTCAGAAATCTCCTATGGATCTCAAACTGAGAGTAGATCTTAGGTCCTTTCCTCCTCCAAAATTGGGAACATTCAGTGGGAAAGTTTGGTATAGGATTGTTAGTGACAGTACTCACCCCCAAAACCTCAGTGTTCATTAGTGTTTGTGAACATTTTCAGAGCCCTTTGTCTCTTCTCATGCCCCTCAGTCCATCCACACAACGGGGTTAACAGTTAAGGTATTTGATCGTATGCTTCTGTCCCAGGTTTCCTCCAGAATTATATCAAAAGAAAAAGATTTCTGTTTTTATTTCTTTGTTTCCATATAGATTGGAGTTGAGGAGAATTGGGGCTAATAAGTACTTCCTAGGGTTCAGAGTGGGCTTTGGATGGGGCAAAGAGGGGAGTTCTATCAGTAAGAAAAGTGTACAGATGTCTGGCACTGTGTTGCACTTGTCACAAGTACCCTCGTCCTGTTGATGTCAGTGTCCCATATCGTTGGTTCTCAATTTTAACATACATCAGAGTCACCTGGAAGGCTTGTTTAAGCACGGACACCAGACCCCACCCCTGATTTTCTAAATCACTTGGTCTAGGTTGGGGTTTGAGCATCTGCAGTTTTCAGGGGTCCCCAGGTGATGCTGACGTTGCTTTTCTAGATTGAAACATCTGTGTTATACCTTCTGGCAGTTGTCCCTCTAAGACTGGGGATTCCAGTACTTTTAATCTTTTGCTGTATATTTGGTGTTCTCACCCACAATTTCAGGTTCTTTTCTCACATTCTTCACATTTCAAATTCTAGAGAAAAGATTACCAGGTCTTTACATACTTTCTTCTCTCTGTGTAATTGGAACATCTTCATAATCTAGTTGTTTAGGTCGTGGAAGTCTGTCCTGTCACAGTGCACACATTTTTCTCTCTTTATTTGGCTGAGATTTTGTTGTTGTTTTCTACTGGTTTTAACCAGTGCATCAGTTAATTTCCTCTTCTGATGGGGTGTCATTTGCAATGTCAAATAATATAGATTAACTTTATTTAAAATATTTGCTTATGAACTTATGCCATATGATGCTTCAGGTGCATCATGGATCCTGGCATTAATTCCCTCTAAATATCATTCATTTTCCTCTAAGTTAATGATGTACTGGTGATAACTTGGCCCTTTTAGCTAGGTGGACTCCCTGCTGTAATGTAATTTTCTCCATATTCCTATTTTGTTAATATATATTCCGCATTCCATGGAGTCAAAAGGCATTGTTTGCATTATTCATTTATTTTATAGAAGAAGATTATTTGATTTACAGGGTTTATTCAGATCATCTTAAAGCAAAAAACAAGGTCCAAAACTATAGCAAATATAATCTCAGTTTTTAAATCTATAACATTATCTGTGTCTCTTTATGATTCATGTTGAGTTGTAGTCTACATAATTCAACAAGAATTTGTTGGGTGCCTGTCATGTGCTATGTTAAAAACAATTTGGGAAACCTAAATTATAGTAGGGGGGATGAAATAGTAAGAAAAGTACACAAGTGATGACAATGTAATGTTTAATATAAATGTGCTATGAGGATTTGGAAAAGAAATACCACTTTAGTTAAGAAAATTAGAAAAGGCTTCTTGAAGGATGGCTGAAATGGCCCTTTGACATACAGATAACATTTTCATTGATGGGAATAGGAATAGCATAAAAGTAATTCATAGAGCAGTATTATCAGCTCATGAGGAAATCCATAAAGGAATACGGTTTTGAAGAAATTTCAGGGAGGTAAAAATTTCTGAAAACTTTGGGCCCAAGTAGTCAGAGTGTCTGTCTGTCTCTGTCTCTGTCTCTTCTCATTTGTTTTGTGGTGGGTTTTTTGTTTTGTTTTGTTTTCTCCTTTTGGAGAGGATAAGTAGGGA